GGCTGGAAGAAGAAAACTTAAAAAATATCTTTTAAATACTCATTATAAGAAACAAAAATATTCACTCCTAGATTTAAGGAACTTGTAACTAATTTTTCAGAAACTACGTTCTAAGAATCGGTAGACGATAAACAAAGTGGTAGACGTTGCGGTAGAAACTATATTCAAGAAACGGTAGAATATATTGAGAACGGTAAAATGTACTAACTAGGTTTGGTAGATGTCAATCTAAGTCGTGGAACTAATATTCTACGTACGACAATGTAGAACGTAAAGCATGACACAAAACCAAAATTCTACCTTCAGTAGATGGAGGTCAAATAGGCAGAATCTTAAATCTACCGAATTGTGACAGACATAAAAGGAAAAACTAATATCATTTTTCAACATGTTTTTCAGCTTAAAAATACAAAAAATTATATACAAATGACTATTTATGACATGTTTATAATTATCATATTTTAAAAAAATTTTAAAACCTTTTATTTTGAATTATTTACATTTCCATTAAGGGTAGTATAGACAAAAAAATGATAAAAATTGACAAAAATGTATTAGAACATTATCTAATTCAATGTGGTCTATTTTAGCAAATTTTTCTATTTATCATTTAGCAAAAAAGTAATTAATCAAGAGGGATGTAGAAAAATGAGATCCAAGGAAATATCCGGAAGGAATATGCTGACATTGACATATATATACAAACAAATGCACGTGTGTGTGTTTTTATAAACATTTTAAAGTTCAAGTATTTTATATGTTGAATACATGTTATGTAATGTGCGGTAGACAAGTCAGAGTGGAACATTGGGTACTTCAAAGCCCTGTTCAAAAATGCGGCCACCGCGGTCGTTTAATCGGCGGTCAGGCGCTCGGTAGCCGATGGCTGCCGCGATTTAAGCATAATTGTTCAGAAAATCGGAAATTTCAAATTTATTCATTTTTAGTTGGTTTTTGGCTCAAAATTGAGTGTATGGTTATAGATTTATCATAATAGACTAAAACTCACAAAGAAAAGTAGGAAAAATCGATAACAATTGTGAAAAAATGAAAAACGGCGGAAATTAGGGTGATATTATCGCTGGACAGAAGAAGAAGACGAGGGTAAAATTGTAAATTCATCATTAAGATAAAAAAACGAAAAAAAAAAACCTGGGCTTCGAACCCAGGCAAGCGGTTACGTGTTTATACACCCAGACCATTAGGCTATCTAATATTCTTTGTCATATTGGGAATATTTAATTTATAAAGACGTATATTGG